CTCCCGGGTGCCCCGCGGCCTTTCCACACCCATCCCTCCCCACCGTGTCGCCTTTACCGGCTTCTTCCCCTCCCATCAGGGCATCCCACCCCACCAGCCCCACCGAGCCCCGGGCGGGGTGCAGCCTCCCCAGGGACCTCCTTGGAAAGGGCACAATCCGGATTCGGCCCTTGCAGGGCCCAGCTGAACCGGCACAGGCCAATCCCATTGCCCGGTGCTGCCGGGCCAGGGCACACCGGGGCTGCGCCCCTGGTGCGGGCGATAGCCATGGCCTCGCCGTCCTTACCAGGCCCTGCCAGGCTCTAGGGACTCGCGGGTGCTCAGCGGGACCCGGGTGCACTCGCTGCCACAGCATCCCCAGGGATTCGAGCCGGTCCTCAGAGACCGGGTGCTCCTGGGGAGCTGGAGGGGCAGTGGTTGGTCCGTGGCTGGGGGGCAGCGGACACGGCCAGCGCGGGGCCAGGCTGCCGCCATCCCTCCCTCGCAGGGCGCAAGGGCAGAGGGAGACATGGAGCCGCAGCGAGCTCGGTCCCAGTGGGATCGAACTCCCTGGGGGAGAGGAGGGGGCCTGGGCCGGGCTGGGGGGGCCCTGGGGGGCTCTGGCCTCGCCTCCCCCTCACAGCCCCGGCCGGGACACGGCCCTGGCCCAGGCCTCACCGCAGCAAAGGGGAGGGAGCTGCCGGGGCCGTCTCTGACCCCGCACGGCAGGGCGCAGGGGCTGCCCGGGAGCACAGCGAGCAGGACACAGCCGAGACCCCCCGAGTGTTGCTCGGGGCCCAGATCCCGGGCGAGAGGCAGGACGGAGCCGCGCAGCCACAGCAGAGGCCGTGTCCTCGCCTCCCTGCACCACGGCAAGCGGGGACGCCCTGGGGTCCCGCTGTGCGGCGTGGCTGGGGAAGGGGATGCCCGGGGAGGGGGACAGAGCCCGGGGAGCAGCCGCGAGACCCGCCCGGCGCAGGCCAGAACCAACCAACGGCGCATCCCACGTCCCCACTGGATTCCCTCCGTCCGCAGCTTCCGCACCCCCAGAGCTCCCCGGGTGCCCCCCGCCGCCGTCTCCCACCCTTCTGCATCCCGGGGTCCCCATCCTGCACCCAGCTCCTGCCCAGCCCCGTGCCGCTCGCCCGGGGACCCCAGCCCCGAGGGGTCCCGCCAAGGTCAGGCGAGTGCGGGGCAGGGGCCGAGGGCTCGGCCGCGTCCCCCTGCCCGCTGGGCGAGGGACCCCCACGCACCGCGGCCCTGCGGGAAGGTG